TTATCCCTATAGTTGAGGGCTATTTATCATTTCATTTTTAAAAACTTATTAGAAATGGAATTTTTTTCAGTAAGGTTTCATTTATAAAGAATTTCATATTCCATCTTTATTTGCAAATATATTTAAAGCATCTGAATTGTTAATGTATAATATATTTAAGTATTTTAAAATTTCAAGAAAATGATACTATCTTCCTTTAACATAATTTAAACAAGTCCTGGACAAGTTCACCATACTCTGTTTAATATACATTAATTAACTTGATATTTATAGTACTTTAATACAGTGTTTTCTAATATCATTACTACTATAAGAACTTTCTTTAATACTAATTCCCAAGGAAATATTTCTAAGAATAACTATACTGCCAAATTCAACAAGTTAACAAGTAGCATGTTTAATAACAAGAAATATGTACACATGCATGTACACACAAACTGAAAAACATACACACATATACATTCATATATACACACATTGCGTTTAACACACTTGGAAAAATTATCTCATTTTATTCTCCCTGCAACACTACAAAGTAGGAAATACCATTATCCTAACTACATGGAGAAATTGAGGGACAAAAGTCAGGTAACTTGTGATAAGTTACAGTACTTGCAAGCTGTCAACCCTAAACTCAAACGAAATAGTCTGATTACAGAGCCGAAGACAAGCTCTATATCTCTAGTTTGTGAGAGGGACCAAACCAACAAAAAAGACTAATCTAGCTATCAGACAGACTATAATATAGAGGGGCATAAACATACAAAATAACATATGTAGTATGATGGCAACTCTGTTTTTAAACCTGTCCAGAAACAGATCAGAAAGCAATGTGTCAATATGTTAACATTTGCCATTGAGCAATGGGATTTGGGTTTGTTCTTCTAATATTTTTGTGCTTTTAAAATTTGACAAAAAGTATGAATCTCTTTTACAACAGACAAGGGAATTTAAAGCTAAATGCAAAAATAAGTAAGTCTGACTGCCTTCCAAGAATGCTTCTTCCTTTTGTAAATGTCACAATGTACCCCAGCACAACAACAATAATAATAAAAAGAATGCTTCTTCCTCTTGTCAAGATGGCCTATGGATTACCATTTAAACTGAGGGAAATCAATAAAAAATTATTTAGCATTATTCCAAAAAGACTGAAAAGAACTCCCTATTTCATATCAATGCAAGAAGAAATATGTATATAGGCTGATCTGAAAAAGAACAATTTAAAACAAACAACAAAAGGTGAAGAAAAGGGGAAAAGTTAATAGAAGAGCTACATGGCACAATGAAGAACATAAAGAAAGGTTCTAATCACATATACATGACTCTTCAAGATTGTAAAGCTATAGTACATGTTTCAAAAAACCCTAAATAAAAACATTTGGTTATATGCTTAAGTATTTCCAGGGAAAACCATGGTAATCTGCTATATAAACATTTACTACCACCCATACTTTTAAAGCTACGCATTACTTGTTCTATACTACAATTCCCATACATCCAGTTTCTGAAACGTGAAATTTTACATGCTCTCTCTAGAGCTTGAAACATTCATTTCAATTGCCTCCTACAATTATTGGCCAACACTGTTTTTCTGCTATTGAAATAGTTTTATCTTTTTATACTGTTTCTGAATCTGACACAAAAATGGTTCCTTCATCTTACTCATGATACAGAAATCATTCATACTTTGTCATCTGTATATCCTCATCTGTATATTACCTTCTGTGATGTGTCTTCCAGAATTGGTGACTGCTCTATAAGCATTTGATACAGTACAACAAATAAGGGGATTCTTGCATATTTTCTGTTGATAATCATGAAAACTTTAGAAAACGTAAATATTTAGAGTATTTAGAAAAAAGCAGTGATTTGAAATAAAAGTAGAATCGTTTTACATTTCAGAGTTTTTATCTCACATGAAAGACTTAAATTTTTAGTCACATTTAGTCATTTAATTTTCTATTCTCTGTTCACACTTTCCTTACCAGTATCCATTTGCCAGACATACACAGAGCCATCTGAACATCCTACTACTAGGTAATCATCAGAAGGTCTCCACTTGATCACTTGAATAGGGAAAAGGTGACGAGATGCCAGCATGATGCATTTTTTCTCACGCAAACTTAGAAGTCCTACTGAGTGGTCACTGGCTACAGAGCAGATACAATGCTGCACTCTTGCCTGAAAAGAAAAATAAACTTGATTTTATTTAGATTAAATTTAGAATGAAGAGATCATGTCCTCCCATAACTTAACTGAAAATTAATTACACATTCACTACTACTGAAAGTCAACAACAATATTAGGTCATGCTGAACAATTTCTCCCTTTATATTATACATTAAACACACAGTTCGTTTATCACAATACTTTTAAAATACTAAATGAATCCTAGATTAAAGACTGGAAAAGATGCTTTGGAAAATCTGCTGTTCAAATGTGAAGATGACCTTACTAAAATGATTGCTACCTCTGAGCAGGCAGAGCTGGAAAAAAATTGATCAGTTCTTGTGTGTTCTCTTTGCACAGTGAACTTTCCTTTGTTTGCTGTGAAAGCTTTCTGCAGTGCTTCTTTCTGTTTGTGACTGTCATTTAGACCCCTGCTCCTCCCTGTACCTTTGCTCAAAAACAGTACCTTCACGGTCCCTCTGCCATGATCATGCCTTGACAGCCACAGATACTTCACATGATCTGCAGATATGCATCCCCATTTCCTTTACAGCTCTGTCTATAATGCTGGCAGGTGCACCACCTCAACTACTCACATATAGCCAATTAAATATTATGCAGTGTATTTTCTGCTCATCTCTAGTTTTTACCCTCTAATTCCCTTTTAGAACATGAGAAATAAAAAGATAGTAAAACCTCTCACTACCAATAAAGAACTGAATCTACAATGTAGAAAACTAAAGTCTAAAGATTTCTATGATAATTTACAAGCAATTTAAAAAAACTTTTTAGTGACATGGATTATGCTTTCAATTCATATTGAGAGAAACTTTACAAAAACAGCTATGTAGAAGTCATTATTACGTACATTATGGCTATTTCTTGAGGATGAAGCCCACTACACTGCATATATACTCTCCTTCTGTGGGATCTAACAGAAAAACTTGTCAAACCTAACCCGGGTGGATTTCTCCTAAGCAAACAGACTGTTTTTAGCTAAAAATCAATACTTCACTGATTCCCCAAGTGGGAAATGCTGATAGGTATTAGGTGAAAAAGGTGGGGGAGGTGGTCAAATGTGCATGAAAAGCACTGAAGCTATGTAATTAATTGTTGTTATCAATATTGGATTTAACACAGAATTTCCAAGAACCTTTAGAAAGTTGATGTGAACATAGTTATATCGATAAGGTAATACAACATCATCCATCTCTAAATCTGTTTGAGCATGATAATCTCATTAGATCTAGTTTTAAAAGAACATACTTTGGGGAAAGCTGCTGTAACTGGCTCCTTTTATATTGCAGATGCTAAGAAACTCAGGACTGAATTTTCCCTAGATAACCGTATAGGATCTTGAGAACATATATTTGAAATGTGGACTCTCATTGGTCTTATTTGCTCCTTTCATTTTTCTCTTCACCATGATTTTAACTTTATTTTCACTTTGCTGAATAATTATTTTTGTAAACAACCTAAAATCATTTTTGAACAAAGGAGGGCATTAGTAAAACAAAGACAGCAGTAAGATTTAACTATTTAATTTGTCCTTAAATTCAAGCATTTTATTCTTCTATTAGCTTGATTTGTACTTTTGTTTTGTAATAAACATTATGAGTACTATAGTTGTTTACTAATTTTAAAAAGTTAAGAAAGCAAAGAAACAATCCTATAAGCCTTTATTAAACACATAGAATGTTCTTAAGCATTTGTTAAGCTTATTTATTTCATTTACCTTGATAAATACTCAATTGAAATATGAAATGTGATTTCTATTTTTTAAATGTAAATTAAGAACTGAGAGGCAACTGACTTCTAGCACATAAACACTAGTTTT